GAGGAGCTGCACAAGCGTCGCAATTTCCTTGCATCTTTCTGCAAGCTAGTGGTCTACAATGTTCTATCCACCAATGTTGCTGCCGACATCTTCAAACACTACGTGAAGGTGAATTTTCAGATTTTATCATTGATCTTGCTATTTTTGAGCTGTTTATGAATTTTTTTTTCACCTAAAATTGGAGGTTTCTTGTGTTGCCTGCAATACTAATATTTTCAAACTGCTGTGTACGTGCAGCCTTCAGTTCTCACTGGTTAGATGATCTGGACCGCTTCTAATCACTGATTTCTTCAATGGCCTTTGAAGGCTTCAAATTTTCCAGCATGAAAGTTTAAAATTTAAGCGTTTTCCTCTTCTTTAGTACTACAATGATTATGGAGACATCATCAAGGCAACTATTGGGAAGGCAAGGGAGATCAACAAGGTGAATTGTGCACGAACGATGGCATCGAGCCTCATCATGATCTACCAGGAGATCCACCAGAACGGCCATAAAGTCTCCAGACAGTCGGAGGAATTCATCAGCCTTAAGGTGAGATCTCATGCCATCAGTTCATCTAATTGTTAAGTAACAACCTTAATTTGTTTTCTCCAAAATTTGTAACCCCTTGATTTATTTCCTGATCAATGTTTCATATCTGGATACTATGGGGTCTTTTCCAAAAAATACATCAGTCATATATTCTGACAGAAAGATACAAATGTGGTTCACATGTTGTCTTGTCTTCCTTCACTGCTGGTCCATACTTGCCTCTTCCCTCAAGTTGTGAGACAGAAATTTACTAAAAATGCTTTCAGTTATCTTTGTTAGACTTCTTAGTTGTGATTTTCTAATCTTAATGGATGTATATCTATGCCAAGTCAACTTGAAGAGATATCATACACATATTTGCCAATAATTTGTCTTTTTATTTGAAAGCCAAGGATAATTTTAATCCTAAAAAAATGAGATTCAGTGTCTATCTTTAGAAGAAAAAAGAAAAAGAAAAACTGCCTCATCTAGCAAATGGTGCCTTCCACAGGAGGGCTTAAGATATTATATTGAGCATTTTTATATTTTCCAGTATTTAAAAAAATTATAACCTGTCATCTTTGCCAATAATACATCCGTTGAGTTCTTGGAACTCATGTGGTTTTATTCTTACAGTTATCAGATATTAAATGGCTTTGCCTGGTTATCCTTTTGGAATTCTTTAAACTTTTAAAAGGGCCATAGCTCTAAAGAGATTCAAGACTTCTAAAAGGTGCTGGTTGTATTTCACTAATTGGAGTTAATGGAATATATTTATAAAATATTTGATTTTGAAAATTGCCAAATTTTGCACTTTTTCCCACATAGTCACATATGCAATGCAGATGTATATCTTAGTAATTCATGAAAATTCATGAAAATTGTCAGCTTCATGTGGGTAGGGGAGGATCCAATTCACAAGGAAAATTTGCTATGAAGTCTCAAGAAAATGTTTAATGTATGATCAAGAACCTAAAACGGATTTCCATTTTTCTTTGGTTACATGAATGTATTAATGGACATTGGACATGTGATGTTTTTGTGCCTATAGGAACTGGCCAAGCGATTTGCACTGAGCTTTGGCCTGGATGCGGTGAAAAACCGAGAGGCGATAACGGCTATGCATCGCGAGGGAATCCTGTTTGCCGTGAGCAGCGGCGACGAGAACCCGGCAATGCCAGCCGACCCATCATCGCCCCCTAACAACATCTCCTTCCTTGAGATCTTAACTGAATTTACCAACAAACTCCTGAAGCAGGACAAGCGTGTTGTGTGAGTCTTCTTTTGACAGTTTTTTCTTCTTTTTTTTTTTTGGTCAGTGCTTACTCATTAGCTTTCTTTCCATCAGTCCTGGTTCAGCTGTGGTCTTGCCAGAAGGTCTTGGAGGAGTCAAGGCTTTTTCTGCCTGTTTTTAGATGCACAGCTATGATGGGAACTACAGCACAGCATATTTCTTGCTGAAGAAAAAGCATTAATTGAAAATCAAAATGTTGAGTAGAATCCTGTCTGGCCTCAGTCTGGAGAAGCACTTTGCACAATTAGAAGCCATATTCAGCATGTAAAATACCTACCATAAGTAGGCACTTTGCTTCTGTATGGGTGAAACTGGACAGTTTTGCATAGCAGATTTCAGAAGCAGGCTTCAATGGAAATTCCATCTATTTCAGACATGGTAACAACTTTGGGACTTGGAGGGAAAATTTTTTAATCAGGTGGAAGGGGGCTATCATGATCCATTGTCATCTTCATTTTGCATGATGAAAAGGAAAAATTACAGCCAATTGAATATTGTAAATGAAAGTCATGACCCATGTTAATCTGAGTTTGGTTTGTGGAATTTACAGTCTTCTGTACCTGGACAAGCGCATCACAGTGCCGGTGCCATCTAGTCGGGGCGAGGACTGGCAGGCGCTGGTGACGTATCGCAACAGCCTGATGCAGGGGGAGACCGATGCCCCTGCCGTGACCCATCGCAAGGCCTACACCCGACGCAAGAGAGGCCAGCGTGAAGGTATGGTTCTCTCTGCAAGGGGGGTCTGACTCGAGAACCTCTGTCGCTTGCATTGAAGATTCACTTAATTCTTCAAAATATGTAAAACAATTTGGAATTGACATATGTAACTTCTTCAATGTGTTAGGAAGATCTTGTGAAAATGATCAAATGGTGCTGTAAATGTAATATTATCAGTTGGATGTGGCAAGTGTGCTATCTTTGTTGTTTGTATATGCTCTTTAAGAAAGGTTTGAATTCATGCATCTTTTATATTTATATACTGTCTTTTTTTTCTCAAAATTTCCAGAAGAAGAAATTGAGGATGAGGAAGGATCAGAGCTGGACTTCCATCAGTGAGTCTGTTTTCCCCCTCTCGTCATGCTGGCGTGCACTCGAGGCTTTGCACTGGAGGTTCCACATGCAACCATGTTGTTGTTATCTGTGCTGGTTTTTTTTTTATCGTTTCCCTGTGCGTGCGTCCATGGAGTTCCAAAATTGCATGGAGGGATTGTGCATGCTTGCCTGTGTTTTTTATTTTTATTCCATGTCCCATGTTTGTAGTCCCATTGTGCTGCTTGCCTCTGATGTATTGGGGTGAGTTT